ATACTGTGCGAACAACTTATTTGATCAATAATGGTCAAGGGGAAATCCCTCAAAAGCTAGTAAACCGCGCCCTACTGGCTTACCATATATTATTAAATGTAGTATCTTGTATGATTATGTGAATTATCATATATAATCTATATCACCTCGTCATTATTGTGCTTCCTAGATCGCCTACGACAGCCTTCATTGTAATACAGACTTATTGTTGGTTTAAATTTATTATAAATTATGTGCTAAAATGTAGTGCTATACAATGCACAATATTGTACCGTACATATAAAAACTGGGTTTCGAATATTGCACATCTACGTTGAATCGCTGCCGTTCGCTTATGTAATCTATTGCAATAAAATAAGCCACAAAATATTAGATTTTTGTTTACCAATATATTCTTTGTCCTTCTATATAATGCGATAGCTAGCCAGCATTGCTAAATTGTTCTGACTAGACCATGCTACATATAGCTCATTTATTCTTTAAGTGTTTATTTAATTCCACCGAAATTGCATCATGTAAGACATTTCTATACCACAATTTTACTATCATATAATGCTTAAAGACAACTATCTCCATCATTAATGATTTTAAAAAGAATGGAATTCATTCCATTTAGCATAAAGTGATGGGGAAGTTATAGTTAATCTACTCACAATGATATTAATTGGTCTCATAATGCCCCTGAATTTCACTTAGCTTTGTTTGCCAAAAGGTATTCCCATGTTTTATAAAGTGAAATTCAATGGTATTGTCGGACTTACTCATATCATTAGTTGTAGATTACACTATCTCGTTCTCATCTTATGCAACAAATGATAAATAAAGTTTCCAATCAAGATCTACTGGAAGTATCGAAACCTACTTAATTTACTTAATATAATGTTACAATTTATAGCGCCCGGTTACACGTAGAGACGTTGTTCCTGTATACACCATTCTAGAGCTCTATACCTAGCACACAGCTCAAGCTTCATATATTGCATAGTTGAGTATTTACTATTAATATTAGTCCATACATGCCTCCCACTTTTTATCGTCAGCTGACAATTCAGCCCAAAATGTGGAATTCTTTACTCGTGTCGGCTACCCTGATTTAAATCCCGTGCTGCCGGCCGCAAGCCTGCCCTATGTATGTGATGCTGTGAACGAGGCTAATGGTGGTCAATTGGTGTGTCAGCCAGACTGTCGAGTCCTAGCCGATCGAGCTGGCTCCCATGTAGTCACTACGCGAGCTGGCATAATCGGCAACGCCGTACTTTTTGGATACCGGCGCCGTAAAACGCCAGGCTGGGTAAGGATATATGACATCCTGATCTACGGAAGTCTAATCACAGATAGGATCATCATGCAGAACCAACCAGGTAGACAATTATTATTTGATTATTTTAATTTACTCTCAATTACTCCTTGCGCAAACAAATAGTTGGCCTATAACAGATTCATTTAAAGCCAGCTTTAAACTATTTCATAGTTTAATCGCTGATATGATAATAACAACGGTGTGACGTCTATTTTAATCGAAGTCTCCGTTTGCAGTATACAAGTGGTTTTATCTCGTTTTTGCAACATGGACGTGTTGTCGGAGCAAACTAGATTAACGTAACTTGCCTAAAGTCATCTGCTTTAGTAGTAATGATAAGTTTAAGGATAGGATCCCGAACTAAATACACTCCCTGAAGTAAAAAGAGACGAGTTGTATCTTGGTTCTAGGAGTGGCAAGACATATTGACGATTCCGACTATGTCTATGAATGTGCCTTATCCATGGTCCGACGATTGACTTTATCATGGCTGCCATGGCAGAGGAATTTGGGCAAGATACCTTCATCTAGATCCACCTGACAAGATAATAAAATTGCGAAAATGAGGTCAAAGTAATTAAAAGTATTTCATCCAATCTTAACTTTTATTTATCAAGTGAACATATTAGTATTCGTTCAGAATCTTTGTATCTGAACGTTTTTGAGCTAGCTTCTTACAATTATTTTACAATCCCGCTAATGGGCAGGTTTTTCTCCTTTATAAATTATTTAAGAATTGGTTATCCGACCTCAAAAACTTTGAAGGAGTGTAGATTTTGGTAGGTCTTTTATTTGTCCGAACGAATCATGACTTTGTACGATGAAGGCCTGGGGCATCGTCTTCTGTCCTTGGCGAATCAGAAGTAAGCTATTCATCTGCTTTCAAGTGATGAAAAAATTCCCATCAAGTATGCATCATTAGACAATGCCAGAATAGATCAGCCGAGGTATAAGCTATTGATTTTATGTATGTCATTCAATCTGACTGTGTTTTCACTCACGACATTGCAGCTAATTGAGCCGTAGCGACATTTTGGCTAAACAGAATATAACTCTTCTCAGACAACCATTGCCTATAAAGATAGTGTCCATTTTACTAGCACTTTAGCCACCGATAACAATTTAATCACATTATTCATAATTTAAATTAACACCTTAACAGAATAACCCTTTATATAACAAAACCAGTGAAGTGGGGTATTAGAATCCTTTACGTGAAGGCTCTTTTTGCTAGATTCGTCTGGAAATTGAGTCACTTAAGCTAATTGGAGGAATAACTGGTTTTGGTTCTCTGTAATTTGTTCCATTTGGAATTAGATTGATGCATTCTCGTCTATCATAGACTACGGCCTCGATCCAGCTTGCTTTCGAGAACATACTAGCCAGCCATACAGCCCTGGAAATAGCCTCCTTGCCTAAGGACTCACGCTCTCCAACTTTGATCCCAATAGAACCTAGAACTTGTATAAGGCGGTGAAAAGCCCACTAGGAGGCCTGCTTGTATCAGATTTGGTACTTTATATGCTTCATTTTGACCTTATCTTTCTAGTACACTGGTGTCTTCACAATTTTGGCAGAACCTAAACTTCAGTACATCATATAGTCCATTTCTAGCCCTCTGAAACCTAGTCTTGCAAAATTAATTGAGCAGCAGTTTCTGAAAACTTGCATCTAGGACAGGGAACCAGAGGCAACTTCTAAGATTATA